CCTTCTCTCCATCATGTCCGCCAGCTTTCTACCTTTCCCTGTCATTGTGCCAACGTTAAGAGTCCCTTTTCTCAGACCTATACTCCTGCCTTTCCTCTTCTCTCTCTGTCTACGAATCCTTATACCTCCTCTCCTTCTTTGACCAACAGTAGTACAATTTCTGCCAGCCCCCTGTAGGTGGTGGTCGTTGTTAACCTGGGATTGGACTGAACCGGTATGGAATTCACACTGATGATCCGCATGTTTAAATTTGGCATGTTTTTACACCGGATGCCTTTCCTGACACAACCCTCTCTATTTATCCGGGCTTGGGACTGGCACAGAAGTCACTGGCTTGAAGCCCCTGTGGGTTGATTCAAGCATTGTATCAGCTCTATTCTGTTCAAACTTTATTTCATGTTTTACACTAAGTGTTTTTTTGTATCTCCTGCTGTTTTCTTTTTTCACTTGTGCAAAGCCAAAATGCCCAAACTACTCTTTCATTAACTGAAAACCAGGTTATCGGCTTATCGGACTTTCCCCTCGGACTACGCACTTTGGATTCCCCTGGATGTACGTGTTTGCTGGCTCTGACCTGGGACCGATACCGACCGTGAGTTTTTGTGTTTGCACCGTGTCTTGTATGGTTTTGTTGTTTAGTTTTCGTTCTCATAATAAAGAGACGGTTTTTTGTTTAACACTTCCTCGTCTGGCCATTTAATGAGTTCACAAAACACTTTTCGGCCGCACTACGCGCGCCGTTTCTGACAATCCTAGCTTTACAGCAGGAGCCTCAGTCCCACAGGCTTCCTGCCCCACTGCCCTACTTCTGCTGACTGGGCTGCTGACAAGGCTCCTTTCCATGGCTGTCTTGCAGTGCGCCCCCCCTAAAACACACAAATACACACTCCACAAATGTACATGCATGTATGCACTCTCTCATGACCTAATTACAGTAGATACCTGCTCTACACAGTGCCTGCAGTATTTACGTATCTGTCCATAACACCATAACAGGAAAACTGCTAAACTGCTCAACTGCGGGCGATGTTGGGGGGGGGGTAATGACTGAACAGATTGCCATTGTTTACAGTGAAAAGGGCAAAGAGCTGTGTGTGTCATTATGGAAAGTATTTGAGGGTGAATAAAATATGACATGCTGCTCAAGCTGTTTTATTTCTTGTAAAATATTTCATTTTTTTCCTCTTCAAAGTTCTACAAGTTCATACTACTATACATTTCATGGTACTGATCATGTACCTGGTTTCAGATGTGAGCTGTGGAAGAGAGAGAGTGGGCTCGCTGTCGTGCCTCTTCAACTCCACCTCCACTGTGATGATCTGCTGATCCTCCTCACGCACACGCAGCTCCTCCTGGGTCCTGAAAGACACACATACAGAACAGGCGCACAAGTAATGAGATGCATGCAAAAAAAAAAACATACAGCCACATCTTAGCAAAAACATGAATGGGCCTACTCATACCCACAAACTACTAACAAGCTGACCTCACATTTTCCTCCTCTACCCTCCCACCACACCCTGCTGTAATGCTGTGAAACCATATAGCATCCCTCTCAACATCTGAGTTAATCCTGCCTAAAAAGGTTTGGAAGTGAAAATATTATTCATGGTCCCAACTCACCTCCCATCATGGCTGAGAGACTGGGTGTGCCTCCTGGAGACAGAGAGCACTGTGTCAGTACAACGTGTCTACAGGAACTGCAGCAGCTTTCTAACATGCTACACATTAGGTGTGGTTCACATGAGTACCTACTGACACCATAATGTCAGTTTTCTTAAGTTATGACTTAAGGGGTTTTAGGCAGATTAACCCAACAAAAGAATGACATACTACTGTGTAAACAAGACCCATTAACACAAAACAAAACAACAGTGAAAAAGGAGGGATAATGCTTTAGTGCAATGGGACTGTCAATATATTGTATTTTGTACTAAAACAAATTGTGTGTGTGTGTGTGACCTGTAGCGAGGGTGCTCAGCTGTGTCAGATGGGGATCGCTCAGGGATTGACAAAGAAGTGGTGGAGGAGAGAGTCGTAGCAATTGATGCAGTGGTGGCTTCTTCGAATGATGGCGGAGTACATGGAAGAAGATCTGGTCGTCCTGGAGAAGAAGAAACAAACATATTCACTTCTGAGAGAGCTGGTGCCTGAAGATGTTCTTTTCTTTACCATTTAGTGTTTATTTTACATATGTCTTCAAAAGTGCTGTTCTGCTTTCTTCTGCTGACCAAAGGTTGGGAAGATGAGTAGTGCTACTGTTTACAAAGACTTCCTGTCATGTGGACAGAAGATATACTTTTTCTGATTTAGACCTGAACTATATTTTACCCTGAGATGCAGAGGACTGTACAGAGACCAAAAGCTAAGCTCTGGGAAAGAAGAAGCCATCAGCGTGTAGTCAAAGTCCAAACTCTCTAAACACTAATAATCCACAATGACTGTGGATGGTGGATTCTGGATCCACAGGTTGCCTCCGTTCCCACCATTTGCATCTGGTTATCATTGGTTATATCACTGCATTGCAACCCTAAGTCAAGGTCTTATGTACCCTCATCCTCCAGGGTGGGGAAGCTGTGCGCTCCTCTCAGGTCAAACATATTCTCGTCTCTGTCAGAGGGCAGCTGGCTGGCTGACCAGGCTGCACCAGGACCAACGCACTTAGGCACCGTCAATGACACACGACCCTTCTTAGAAGGAGATGACTTCAGAGCTGAGAGACAAAGCATATAAACACATTAACTTGCAAAAATATGTGCTGTCAGAATTAAAGGTCAACTTTTAACTAATCAGACCTTTTTATCCAACAACCTCTTCTCTAATGGATGTTTGCTGAAACTCATGCAATGTTTTCTAAAGCCTTGCTGCAGTGAATTGTGTGAAAATCCTCAGAAGGTTATGGGGGAAAAAGCTGCTCAAGAATGAAACACCTAATAAAGCAGTTAGCTAATGTACAAGCTATCCTGGAAAGGAGACAAAAACCTGGCATCTGACATTTCTGACTGTGCCTCTTCCCACACAGCTGTGTTTGGCCATTTAAGACAGTGTATCAATGTAAACTGAACTCACAGGAGCTCTTCTTGAAAACCATGTTGCTCATGAACTTGAAGAACCTATCGGCGTAGAAGCCAGGCCGGTGAACTGACACAGTGTCCTGAGAGAGAGATGGAGACAAACGGTGCATGGATACATGAATAAATGATCAAACCAGTGCTTGCAGTAGCTTAAATTATCTGTTAGTCCCTTAATGGCCTATTTCAGCAATTGTTCTCTCTGGATCAAACCACCAGACAGAAAAAGACTACAGAGACATCTCTTCATTATTTATGCTGCAGCAGATTGAGACCACAGTGCCAGCAGACTGACAAATGACACTTGGTGTTTGGTTTAGACTGACAGAGGGAAAGAAAGACAGAGGTGACTGATGAAGTGAAGCAACCACAGCTCTTCTCTACCTAAATATTATTAGCTTTTTGCATCAGCACCACTGGAGCTCACTATGAGAAACATCACTCACACCACACAGCTCAGCCAAGTGTATGTAACACAAAGAGAGTGGGGAGTGTCCATTATCAGAGACAACAGTGACGCACAGGAGGCTGTTACAGGGTTGCTTGCTCGCCCACACATATCTCACGTATGAGTGTATCTCAGAGTGGGAGAGTGGAGTGACTGAAGGGAGAGGACGGACAGATGGATAAGGGTAATTCTGTGGTGAGAGCAGACTGACGAAAATGTACAGAGTAAATCCCAAGTGGATGAAGAGATGTGAGATGCTACAGATCTGTGGGATCTTGTGCTGATCGAGTAAGCACACTCATGCCATCCCTGAGTGTATATACTGTCAAGCAAACATATACAGTATCTACAGAAGTCAAGTCAAGAATCTTTATTCAAGAGTCAAGAATCTTTATTGTCATTATACATAGCACAACAAAATTTTTTCTGGCAGCTCTCGGCTTAAGACACATTATTTACATAACACACAATTGTAGTCAATATAAAAATATGAACAAATAAAAAGGGATGTATGGGACCTAATCAGGTCAGCAGCATGTTAGCAGCAAGAGTGTAGTAACATTATGAGGTGCAGCTCAGTGCAAATCTCAGTCTTTAGGAAGAGGTGTGAGCATGGGTGTGTGTCTGTAGAGGTCTAGTGTTCTGTCTGTCCATAGGGGGGAGGTTGTGTGTGTGACTAGGGGTTAGGGGGGTGATTGATTTCACAGCTCTGGGGAAGAAGCTGTGTCTCAGAAGCTGTTTGTTTTAGAATTTATATTCCTGTACCTTTTCTTGGAGGGAAGAGGCACAAACAGACTGTTGCCTGGGTGAGTGTGGTCTGCAGCAATCTGCCCAGCCCTTCTCTAGATCCGGTCAGTGTATAGTGAGTCCAGATCCAGAAGAGGACTCCCTACGATGCCCTGAGCTGTTCTCACCACCCGGGTCAAGTCCTTTCTGTCCTGTGCAGTGCAGCTCCCATACCACACTGTCACACTGAGACAGAGGATGCTCTCTACTGTCGCTCTGTAGAAGTTTGTGAGCAACTGAGAGAAGAGACCAGTGCGTTTCAGCTTCCTGAGGAAGAAAAGCCTTTGCTGGGCTTTCTTCACCAGGTAGGATGTGTTCAGAGACCAGGTCAGGTCAGATGTGATATGGATGCCCAGGAACTTGATGTTATCCGCTTGCTCCAGCACCTCACCGTGAATGAGAAGAGGAGCATGTTTTGTCTTCCTGGACCTCCTATAATCCACAATGACCTCCTTAGTCTTGTTGGTGTTCAGGACAAGATTGTTATCTGAACACCAACTTGTCAGGTGCTGGATCTCCTCTCTGTAGTGAGTCTCAACATTGTCTGAGATGAGACCCACAACGGTGGTGTCGTCTGCGAACTTCACTACTGTGTTTGTGGCATAGCAGTCATGCAATGCTATGCACTTCAGTGCCGCCACATATGACGGCACTGAAGTGAATTTTTATTCATTATAAGTGCTAGTATCAGTACTGCATTGGGATCATGTAATAGCTTGAATATATACTGTATATGAATATATAATATGAAAATAAAAAAGTTTGTGACAAGTGTCTAATGTGTATCATATTACACATCCCAGAAACCCCGCAGCTTTCCTGCAGAGACCATGTTTCTTCAGTCAGGATTCTCTTTTTTTATTTGGGGAAGGAGGTAAACAAATTGAAAGTATTTTTGTCTGTCATCCTTATGCTTATTTGCTTCAAAAGCCTTAGGTACATATATTCAAGAATGAGCGTGTCTTTCTGTTTTGTGCTCTAAATCAAACTCACTTCAGTCAATAAGTGATTTATTGCACCGGCTTTCCACTGAAATCAGACCTGGAAGCACACAATGCCAAACACTGTGTGTAGGCTGGCAGGAGCTGCCAATGTTCAAGGCTCTGGTGTTGTTTGCTTATGGAGGTAAACCTATGTCCCCACATTAATGTGGTCATGATGTGTTGTCATTAAAATATGCCAAATATCATTTCAATGCCCACATACTTTTCAAAATACACTGTCTGGCCACTTTATTAGGTACACTTGTACAGTTCTGCCTTAACATCTGTGTTTATGAAGCTCAAAATCTTTCAGTTTTTGGTGAAATTGTCATAAATGTATAAATTCAATTATATGTTTATTATTGGGGTCATACTTAAAAGTGGTGTTGTACTGTACTACATTATATTCAGAAGTGTTCCTATTATTCTGACCCTATCATGTATGTAGCTGAGGAGGACAAAAATATAGAGACACCTCTGAATACAACACCACCTTTAACTATGACCTCAATAATAAACATATAATTGAACTTATACATCCATCCATCTTCTTCCGCTTATCCGGAACCGGCTCGCGGGGGCAGCAGTCTAAGCAAAGATGCACAGACTTCCCTCTCCCTAGACACTTCCTCCAGCTCCTCCTGGGGAATGCCGGGAGACGTAGTCCCTCCAGCATGTCCTGGGTCTTCCCTGAGGGCTCCTCCTGGTGGGACATGCCCGGAACACCTCCCTAGGAAGGCACCCAGGAGGCATCTGAAACAGATGCCCAAACCACCACAGCGGTTCTACTCTGATGACAAATACACTTGAATGATAAATAATAATCATGAATAATCTTCGCCTTACAGCTCAGCTCTTTCTTCACCACGACGGACCGGTACATTGACCGCATTACTGCAGAAGCTGCACCGATCCGCCTGTCAATCTCCCGTTCCATCCTTCCCTCACTCGTGAACAAGACCCCAAGATACTTAAACTCCTCCACTTGAGGCAGGAACTCTCCACCAACCTGAAGAGAACAAGCCACCCTTTTCCGACTGAGAACCATGGCCTTGGACATGGAGGTGCTGATTCTCATCCCAGCCGCTTCACACTCAGCTGCAAACCGCCCCAGTGCACACTGAAAATCCTGGTTTGATGGAGCCAACAGGACAACGTCATCTGCAAAAAGCAGAGATGAGATCCTGTGGTCCCCAACCGGACTCCCTTTGGCCCCTGGCTGTGCCTAGAAATTCTGTTCATAAAGATAATGAACAGAACCGGTGACAAAGGGCAGCCCTGCCAGAGTCCAACATGCAATGGAAACAAGTCTGACTTACTGCCGGCAATGCGAACCAAGCTCCTGCTCCAGTCGTACAGGGACTAGACAGCCCTTAGCAAAGGGCCCCGGACTCCATACTCCCGGAGCACCCCCCACAGGGCGCTGCGAGGGACACGGTCTTCTCCAAATGCCTTCTCCAAATCCATGAAACACATGTGGACTGGTTGGGCAAACGCCCATGAACCCTCCACCACCCTGAAGAGGGTATAGAGCTGGTCCAGTGTTCTGGGGCCAGGACGAAAACCGCATTGTTCCTCCTGAATCCGAGGAATATATACATTTATGACAATTTTACCAAAATAAGCATTTTTGAGCTTCATAAACACAGATGTTAAGGTGGAAGTGTTGCACTGAATTGCATACTATTGTGCAGGTGTACATAATAAAGTGGCTGCGCAGTGTATACAAAAACATAGTTTCAAGAACCAAAATGCACACTTTTAATTAAAAAATGAACAGCAGAAAGGTCTGCAACTGACTCAAGTTCAACACTGTGTCTCTCTCTTTTACTCACACTGACTTCAATAAAAACTGAATGTTCATAAAGGTGATTTCCTATGAGTAAAGCTCAATAAAGGCTGATCTTCATGACAATGACAGAAAACAGTGAGGATAAACTTATATGCAGTTCCACTTCTGTGTGTACATTATACACACTCACCCCATCATGAACCAAAGCTTTCCATGTGTGCTCCAGTTTCTTGATTAGCCTGTGGAAATAAAGACAAGCAGAGTTTAACAAAGCCAAACATATCCTCTGTATTAGGGTCACAGTGAAGTTCATATAAGCACCATGCCTGTAGGCCAATGGGCATTAAAAGTGCTGTCAGAAGGGATTATGTTGTTTAGGTGCCTGAGAAAAAAATGTTTGTAGGAAGGTACAGAACACATACTGTATTTCTTCCATTCAAGACACAGTATCATACCACCATACATATAGCTGATAACCTGTGGCGACTACATGTAACGACATGTTGATCACCTGTAGGACTGCAGGATGTCAATGATTCCAATGTAGAGAAGAAGTCTCTCTCCTTTTCCATTGACAGCCGGGATACCGCCCATCCTAAAATGAGAGGGACAAAAAAACTGAAAGTGATGTCTCTTTAATCCATAGGTCTGCGAAGTTGGATGTTATTAACAGTCAGCCCTTCCTACAGGCAACTTACACTGACTTCAACCTGATGAACTGAAATGTTTCTACCAGGAATCTGACTTGTGAAAATCTGGTTGTGAAAGCTGGGCATTTACATTTCCTTTTCTTTCAACTTAAATATATATACACAGGATTAAGCTGCTTTGATTGGATTACTCTATGTCATTACTTTACCTCATCTAATATTTGACCCATACCGAACCCCAGTACAGCTGGAGATCCTGTGACACACCACTGACGGTAAATCTCATGCCTGCTGCGAGGGTCATTTGTAAGTATAGTGACCTGTTTCAGTGTCACCTTCTAAATTTCTTCTTACAGCGAGTTCTAATTTATAGATTTGCTTTTAAAGCAATTTACCATATGACTTGTGTTTATTTGTGTGTTTTTAGACTGCACCATTAGCTGAACAAAATGCAAGTGTGCCTGCTTACACTGAAAACTACAGATGTACAGTAAACACTGCCAACAGGTTAAAATCTATCGCAAAAAGCAGCTGAATAAATTCTAACAAAACATGTACCATTATTAATTGATTTCCCACTGTGTTTATTATTATTAATATGGTGTTAAAGTGCAACTGTTAGACATCTATCACCCAGCCCTTCTCACCAACAGCCTCTTGTTATTGGCTAAACTCACGTATCATCAGTGTCAATGGACCCTCCGCAGGCAGCTCCTCCCTGGATAGACTCCATGGCTGTGGAGTACAAGGCCTTCTGCTGGGCCACAGGCCTCTTCTCATCGCTGCTGCCCTGGGAGCCCTCCATCTGCCTCTCCCTTTCTGCCTGGTCTATGTTGTGAACCCCGAGTAGCAAGCTATAGTCCATGATCTTAAAGCTTTCCAGCACCTGAACACAGGACAGGTACAGACTAATTTAAGTGTGGAGTGACTGACAGACATGTGATGAACAAATCAGGATGAAAGCTTTTCTTCTGAGTGTTAAAGGTATAGTCCACAATTCTAATTCATTATACATTTTATCAAATTCTGCCCAGTTTTCCTCGTGTTCTTCTTCTGTCCACCCAGAATGAAGTGCTTGTGCACTCTGTAAATGGGGGAAAAGGATCTGGGTCAGGCCAGGTAATCATAGCCAATCAGCAACAGGAGGGAAGAGTGAAAGGGCTGGTATACCTGGCAGCTAGAGCTCATAACATCGCTTCCACTGCCACTTCCAGTTATAGTCTACAGAGCTACACAACCAAAGAGGAGAAGGCCAGAAGAGCAAACCCTGACTTGTTTAGGTACTGATGTAAATATAAACAGACTGTAGCCAGAATCATGGACTCTACCTTTAACAGTGTCAGCAGCTGAAGGAATGATGCACAAGCATACACACATTAATAAGCAACGTATATAGCTGTGTTCTCACTGTCCACTTAATGAACAGTATGCCCTGTGCTTCTCATAACCGCTGCCCAGCATAACCTCACGAGCTGATGCAGACCATTCTGTTTTGCTTTTCCACTGTATTTTTCCCGGTGTCAGTCTCTGTTAAGATGAGAGCAAGGCTGTGCTCCTCACACACACACACACACACACACACACACACACACACACACACACACACACACAGTGGAGCAGAGTATGTGAGTCAAGGATCACAGTGCTCTTTATCCAACAAAATCAGCCAGCAACAGAGACTGTATAAGCAGTTTATCAAACAGCAGCTAAAAAAGCAGAACACAAACTCGTATAAGTGTGACATCATCTTCGGTTTGTCTGCCCCTGTTTTACCTCTAAACCAGTGTGTGTATGTATGTTTAATGCTAACAGCTCTTTGAGACACGAAGACACCGACATTTAACCAGCCACGGGCAACAGCCCTGAGAGCTCCTACCCCATCCCCCTTGCGTTCTTTGTACTTGAATTTAGTACTACCTCATGAGGGGTGCCAAAATTTAGCTCCTAGAATGCACCTCCAAAGTGGGCAGAGGGCAGTGGAAATAAATAGAGAACTTGGGACGAATGTTACACAGCTTCGAATAATGGAAAAACCCTATATGATAGTGGGTGTGTGAGAATACACTCCCAGAATAATGGAAAAACCCTATATGATAGTGAGTGTGTGAGAATACACTCCCAGGCACATGCTCTAAAAATGTCAACATGAGCTAGTGATTTATAAGACATGGGCAGGCCTGCTACCAGACTAGATACCATATTAAACCTCTTGCTTGTAACAAAGCTCTAATTTATAGTGAGGGATTCTGAGCATGCCAGACACCCACATAAATAGCTTTTCCTTTCTCTGCCTTCTTCTCTTCCATCTCCCTCCATCTACTCTCATAACCATGGTCTTCTTTTATTAATCAGGCCACCATACGTATCCAGTTTTTTCCAACTATTCTTCATTTCCTTTGGCAGATTTTACTCTCTGTCTCTGTGTGTCTATCACTTTACCTTTGGGACACTGCATTATGGCATCACTTCATCTTTCATCCAACCCTCCCTCTAACACCTGCTGCCAAGGAGCTCCTCCCTCTCTCTAGAGACTCTTGATTCAGGGTGTTATATGGATTCTCCTTCAGAATCAGCACACCACACTCACCATCTCCCACTAAGCCACTCTCCTGCCATCTTTCTCTCATGGCTGTCTCAACCGAAAAATAGAAATGAAGTGACCGAACAGGTTTTACTCCATCAGTCTTACCAGGCAGTCTCTCTGTAGGGTCTTAACCAATGCATTATATGTGTCCTGATCCAGCATCAGTCCATCCTGCATGTCTTGCATGAAGTCCAGATCTTTGAAAGTTGGCTTGGCCTTCTCCCTCTCCTTCTTGGATGCTCGCCTCTTGTAGGTGGATCCCTTCAGGTCATATTTGAGGTGCATGCGAACCACACGAGGCAGGATGTTGTTCATCACCACCACGCGGATGTTCTTCCCACCCGACTGGACACAGTAGAGGCCGAAGAACTTGGGCAGCAAAGTGCGAGGGTTCTGATTCAAGTTCTGGAGAAGAAGAGTACAAAAAGAGAAGGAAAATGTAAAAAAAATCTGTAAAGGTTTCATAAATTGGTCTGTGCCTCTGCACTGTGACAGGATACTAAGGCAGGACTGAGCACTGGAATGGAACTGATTTGAGGGGTTTTGTGTGGGAGAAAATGTTGACACATTTAATTATCACACTTTACAAGACTGGCTTTTTATATGTACCTGAGAGCAAGATGTGCCAAAAAAATTGCTTTTGACACTTTGCACGAACTGAGAGGTTGAGATTTTGATACAAAAGGAACAACTCAAAGAGGTGTTTTTCATTTCATGAGACACATGAGCTATATGTGTTAATATTACACGACTCTCAATATACACACAGTTTGGCTATAGTTACACATTTGTTATATGATGGCACCAGAGTGCGTTATGTAATAGTGAGCACAAATCATATATCAGGATTTTTCTCACAGTGCTGTAATATATGGCTGTCTACTCTGTCTAGTCTGACCAAATGCAATAACAAAATTAACCTAAACACTGATGAATGTTTTAAAATAATACTTAGGCAGGTACGTTTTCCTATTCTTTCCTATTTTTTACACTCCCTTCACTTAATAATAATATCACCGATCTGTTTTGAATATTTCAGTTCCAATCCAAACAAAGAGGTTATTCAGGCTAGGTGTTCGGTTAAAAACCTGCTTTGACCTTGGGAACTGAGCCAGCGCAGTCCCATTAGAGAAATGAGAGCAGAGAGACAAAGAGAGAGCTGTCCATATAGTGATAATTCACCACATTCAGGCATAGAAATGACTACAAATACAAGAAGGAACCAACAGAGGAGAGAGGAAGGATGAATGTAGAAGTGTTGCGATATAATTGGTGGATGACTTTTAGCTGAGTGGAACCGGTAGAGAGCAAACACACAAAGAAAGAGGGGGAGAGAATGAGCAGCCTGTGCCGTCAGCCACACATGACCCTTCTGTCAATGTTACGAGGGCAGAGCAATAATGAGCCAACAACACTGACACGTGAGGGAGAAGAGCGGGATGGACAACAGATATGAGTATGGTGAATTAAAACACAGGTCAGAGTGAGAGATAAAAGAAGATAAATTAGACCACAGCAGCAATGACAAGACATTAAAACATGAACTAGAAAGGCAAGTACACACAAGGGAGTGATCTGCATGCCACTCAGAGCCAGACTCCTTATAATCCTCACTACCATCAGCCAGTCACTCCACCAATGACTGTCTGTAGCCTGCAAACACAGACCAGACTGTGATATTACAACTACATTTTTCTCTCATTACATGTACAGCTTTGCTGTTATTTTGTTCATTACACCTCTAGATTTCTGTGAGGCTATACATGTCTGTCCAACTACATTTTCTGTGTGTGTTGTGGTTCTGTGTATGTCTTGGCATGCATCAGATCTGTCTGTCGATCAGTACAATTCTGTTTATTTTCCTCAGCCTACCTGCTTTCGCCGCAGGTCACAGTCATCCTACATGAGCATGAATCTCTCTGCTTTTATTAAATCACTTTCTTAGATCAGTTGCACCTACAAAAATGCTCCAGGGATACAACCAAAATGATGGAAAAGGCCACAGTAAATGTGCTGAGGCTTTAATGTCCCTAGGCCGCAGCTGTTGACACATGACTAAACACAAGGCTGATGGCTGTGAACCTTGTGAGGCTGGATTAGTAGCATGGTCATACATGGTGCTGTTGCTGATTAACTTCATCTGCAGATTGTAGAAGGGGTGGGTGGTTGACTTCATTTGAAATAAGCCTGCAGATTGTAGAAGGGGTGGGTGGTAGGGGGTAGCTGTTGGTGTAAGTCATGCTCTGTTAGGCTTATTTACACTACATCCAGCTACTGAAATACACCGGCCACCCTCTTATGAAATCACATGGCCCAAGGTTTCGGAGATATTACAGCTGTTACAGTATGCTCCTTATATAAAAAGGATATCATGCTTGGAGGAGAGATTTATATGGTCCTAAATAACCTGAAGTCTCAAAAACCCTATACTCTATAAACTATTAGGACAGGCTGGCATTTAAATGAACTATGAGTGAAGCATAGCAGCCTCTTCAGACCAGTGTGCATGAATTGTTCGCTATGTATCCATGTGCTTGATAGTGTGAAGACGTGCTTATTGTTGTGTTTGAGCAATGTTTATTTACCATGCATTACCCTGCATGTTTGAT